AGGTCTGAGACACAACGGAAACTTGCAATGCTCCCAGCAATTGGACCCACTCAGGTCTAGAGTTTCACTGAAAGTTCCCTGCCCAGCGAGCAATCCCAGTCCAGCCTCTCCTAGGCACCAGAGGGAAGCTCTTAGAGAATTTCAACAAAGGTGCTGCAAAGTGTGAAGCTGCCTAAGGCCCAGGCTGAGGAATTCAATGAAAGACCCTCCTATGCCCAGATCTATGAGTAATACTAGATGGAGATATTTGTTCATTTGGATGGTGAAGGAAAATATCTCTATGTTGCCTGAGCCTTAGATTCCCTTCAAAATAATTTATTTCATGATGGCCCTTGAGGTAAAAGTCCGGAGAAATCTCTGGCCCAATTCTGCAATTTAAGGTTTCTGTCTCTCCATTTTTTTTCCAGCAGAAGTACCTGTATTAAAAGGGGGGAGCTCTAACCACAGACATTAAGACTATAAACTGCTGCTGATCAGTTGCTTCATCTTTCTTTTATTGGACCTCTCTTTATTAGTTTGTATTCACATTTGAATTGATAAATGGTTACTTAATTGTTGCCATGTCTGTTAGCTCTCTAGAGGAGGCATCTACACAGTGCCAGGCTCATAGAGAATGTGTAAAAAATGTTCACAGTTGAAGCTAAATACTGATTTCTTCAAAAAAAAAAGGCCCTTTCACCATGCAGAGAATGAGTCATCTCTAACTGGTACTTTGTGAAGTTTATATTGTATCTGTTGGTTCCATAGCATCTAGGAATAATCTAATTTTTATTTTTTATATTTTGGAAAAGATGAGCACAGCCACCCAAATTATATGTGTAGAAAGATGCTTGCTAAATAATGCTGGTGCAATCTTGAGTCTGTTTTTGTCATGATGACATCATTTTCTTTATTATGCTGATTATAGCAGGTCAATGAGTTCAGACAATTCTAATACAATCTGGCAGATGGCTATAAATAAAAGGGATATGCAATTTAGTAGGCAAAATACCTCTGAAATGTATTATTTTTCATATTCATTTAAAGGATATTTGTAAAAGTAGTTTAAAAAATCAATAATATATCCATTTTATATGTCTTTAATTGGGGATTCTCCCTGTTCAAAATTAATATATTTTCCTCTTTTATTTTCAAACTAGAGGCCTGGTTCACAAAATTCATGCACAGGAGGGGAGTCCCTCTCCAACCCGGGACCCCATGGGGGATGTCCGACTGCCAGTTTAGGCCCGATCCCTGGATCTGGCCTAAACCGGCAGTTGGATATGCCTCTCGCAATCTGGGACTGCTGGCTCCTAACTACTCGCCTGCCTACCTGCCTGATCACCTCTAATCACCTCTGACTGCCTAATCACCCCTAACCACCTCTGCCTGCCTGCCTGATCGCCCCTCACTGTTTCCCTGCTGGCCTGATTGCCCCTAACCACTTGCCTGCCGCCTGGTCACCCCTAACCGCCTCTGTCTTGGCCCCACACCTGGGACCCAGGATTCCCTCCTCCAGCTGGCCGCAGGCACCCAGGACCCAGGCTGGCTTCGCCTGGGCTGGCTGCAGCCACAGGGGACCATGGGTGGGCGGCTTCTCCCTCTCCCGGGCCGCAGCAGCAGCCACTGGCGCCCCAGGGACTGCTGGCAGGCGGAGTTGCCGGGCATGGCTTTGTCAGGAAGGACATCCGGATGGTTGTCCGGAAGACATCTGGTCTAATTAGCATATTACCATGTTATTAGTATAGATTATAAGATAAAGTTTATTTAGAAAATTATAGAGATCTTAGAAGTGAGCCAGCAGGCTCAGGAAACAAGTTACAGAAGCCAAAGAAAGGCCTCTGGAGCATAGGAGAGACAAAGGCAAAGGCAAGGAGCCTGGGGGAGGAAGAGAGGGAAGGGAAAGGCATGGTCGTGCTCCCCTGAGGGACAGAGTTCTTTTTACTCATTTTTCACAGCTTTGCTATATTGGGTTCTACTTATCCAATTCTCCATTCTTGAAGATCTTTTTGTTCTTGATTATGGTTCCTTCTCTTGCAATGTCTGTCAATGGCCTCTTGTCTTTATCCTCACTGTTCACTGTGTTCGGTTCTTTTTTTCTTTGTAGTCATTATTATTAGTGCTCTCTACAGACCTGGGAGAACTGTGTTTCCCAGGTAGTAAACCAATGAATGTTAAGATCCTATGGAGCAGATGATTCCCCCAGAAGCAATAAATGCTTTAACACTCTACCTTGTCTTCACACGATATCACCATTTTCATAAGCTTTAGGTTAATTGCCTCTTAGCAAGGCACTTGATTGCTCTTAACCCCTAGCCTCTGCTTGGATACTTGACCCTGGAATTTAGATCATTTAATTTGTGTGCATGGCTCTGCTTCAAGTTGTTGCCTTTTGAGCTCTGCATTTCCAGTCTCTCCACAGTTAAGTTACTTTATCTTTAGCCCAACCATTTCCTTTGCTTGATAATTTGGTTTCCCATTCCTGACCCCAGCCAATAACCCACTTCCTGACTAACCACAGAAAAGACCCAAGTTCTTTTCCAGCACACTTCCCTTAGAGTTTTTTTCTTTCATGTCACTTCAATACCCTTTCTCAGGCATCAGTTCTATTTGAAACTCTAGCTGTACACCTTTCCAATTCTGTAGAAAAATTTCACTCAGATTTTCCTAGTAGAATCAAATGTATCTAGGGAGAGAAAATTAATAATCTAAACTCCTTTCTTGCATTATGTCTGTATCTTTAATAAAAAAATTTATACTGTATTCTATGATGTCTTTCTTACTGTTACCTTGAATTACTTTTTAATTTTTATGCACTTATGTGCAATATCCTCAAAAAGTTATAAACTTTAATTTCATTAAGTTGCCAAACTTGTTCCACGGGACTAGGAGCTCAATGAGGTATTTTTTATTAAAACAGTTTCAAGAGTATATTGTCTGGAGCACTAGACTAGGTAGTGAGAGCTGGGAACTAATACCCTTAACCATTATTAAACTCGTCTGTTTTTACATACTATAGAATGTGGACCACTACATGATCTTAGATATTGTCTAACTCTGAAGTCTACAATTTTAAAAATACACATGCATTTTATAGTAAACTATTGATAGTATATATTTTGTAAAAAAAAAAGTTGTTTGACATAGGCTGAAATGTTAGAGTGTCATAGATTCAGTATTACTAGATTGGAAGTAGATTTTAGAAGTCATCCAGTCCAACTATCTTTCTAATGCTTGGATCCCCTCCACAACACATTTTCCTATTATTTACTCAGCTTTTGCTTTATAATTTATCTAGTTTTCAGTAACAAAGAAGGCCTTACCTCAAAAGTCAGCTCTTTGGATATAATTCTGACACTTCTTTTTTACATTGAGATGAAGATAATCTTTGATTAACACTTTGGTTCTAGTTTTGTACCCCCATTTAGCAATGAAAAAGCCAACAGCTCTTCCACATAAGAGCTCTCCAAATATTTGCAATCAGCCATACCTTTGGGTCAGCAAGAAGAATAAACATACCCATCTATTTGTCTATTTCTCACGTGAGTTCAATCCTGTACATGAGCTTAATCCTCCCCTCTAACCTTCCTTTAAGGTTATGCTATGCCTCTAAAAGTGTAGTAAACAGAAATTGATACTATTCCTTGGCTGTGATCTTACCACAGTGGAGTAGAATAGAAAAGTGTTCTTTTGTCCCAATGCTATGTCTATTAATATGGTCTACCTTTATTGACTAATAATATATTGACTTTAGAGTCACATGAAATTTCTGATTTTTTTTGAAAAATGTTTAGAATCAAATATTTATGAGCCTCCATATTTTACATTTTAGACAGTATTTAGGAATAAGTCTATTTCTTAAAATTTGTGATTCATATCCATATTAATAATCCATAAATCAGATATCTGTGTTGTTGAAATGTTATGTCCAAGCAATTAGGGGATGTGCTGAACAAGAAGAGTGAGAGAGTCATAACCAAGCCATGAGAAACCTTGAGCTAGGTGGCATCACTCTATTGATTGGCACTATTACAGCAGTGTTACTCAACCAATTATAACTGCCACATAATTTTTCCATCATCCACACCCCGTTTTGACATCTTGTCCACTACCTTTCCTGTTTTGTTACAGAACAACTTTGTCAATGAAACAAACAAGCTTTGTTTGACATGGCTATTTTTAACACAGCTTAATTTGTTTTGTTTCAAAATAACTTAATGCTTTCTGAAAAAATTAAAAATCAAGCCAGTCAGGATTCTAATTACTGATGCATAATCATGGATCTTGGGTTTCAGAACCCCTGTTTGTAGCTGTTTGGATAGGACAAACATAGGACATAGCAGGCAAACATTCCTGGGCCAGAAACATGCTGAATAGTTTTGTTTTGTTTTAAATAAAAGGCTGTATATTTTTATGTATGGGGGTTTCCATATACATATTGCCTTTGCTAGTAATACATCTGTAAAAATACATTATATGTAGTATACTAAATGTGTCCCTCCATGGTTAGGGGCTAACAGTGTCGTCACATTGACTGATCTACCACATCTGAAGTTTACCTTATTAACCTAGACTTTCAAATTGTTATATAAGGCAAATAGCACCCCTTTACAAATATTCTTCTCTACGAATTACTAAGAATTCCTTCCTTGTCATTTATTATTCCTGATGGAACCAAGTGAACATTATCATAGTTTTATTTTGACAATTTTATTCCTCCGTACCATCTAGCATAACTACTCTCAGCTTAATTTGTATTTCTCTTCCCGTATGAGATAAACTCTTTAAGTAACAGTTCCAAATCTTAGGGCATGATTCAAAATTTTGACTTGGTTCTTGGACATTATCATTCCTCAACCACATTGCTTTCCGTGCCATCCTTTCTTATCTTCCATTTTCATTGGTAGGAAAAAGAAAAAAAAAGAGAAAACTGAGAAATAAAATGAAATAAAAAAAAAACAGGTGGACACTCAGAAGTGACTGCAGCGAGGAGCAGTGGAAAGTCAGACACGCATACTTACGGAGCTGCCCCAGCCGGGCTTTTTCTTTTTTACCAAACAAACGTCCTATCGAAGACTTGATTCCCTTCTTCTTGGGGGCCTTGTGAAGAGAGTCTTGGCTGCTGTTGGCACTGCCAAGCCCAAAGCTGTCTGGCTCCAGGGAGGCAGCCAAACTACTGCAAACCACAAAGGAGGGCAAGTGCTCATTTTAATGCAACATCCACAAGGAACGCACACAAGACTTGCTTCCTTTATAAAGGTATGAAAGGAGAAACAGGTAGACTTCTGAAGTTTTCTCCCTTTCTGCTTGCCTTTCCTCTTAGTCAAACTGAAGTATGGTTTCACATCTTTGGGGCCCTGAGCCTCCAAATTTTCTCTAAAAAATTTATTTTTGTTTCAAATGATCTTCTCCCTTATTTTTTGTACAATCCCAAGCTAATCAGTAAACATAGGTGGCTTTATTAACTACATGTTAAATGACCTTCTATTATTTAGCACTTGACCCTTTACCTATTTTTTTCTCTGAGTGCTTTTAAAATCTTAAACCTAATAACCTATGATAAGAAATTTAAATATAACTAATAATGAAGTCTAATGGATGGCTTCATTTGGATTTTCATCTAGCATTCTTTCTCTCAGTTTTGGAACCCAATTCACTCAATTTAAAATCATCTGGTTGGGATTCAGAAGTAACAAATCATATACCCTAGTGATCATTGTATACTTTTTCTTGTAATCCTAAGGTATTCTTTGATGTACATGATAAGCTGAAATGACTTTCAAGCAGTTGGTTTAGGTTCCATTCCTGGTCAGTGTACTTGACACTGTATTAATAGGAGAGGTTCAATAGATATTGCCCTCATTCTTTTTACTATGAGACATAATAAATTATTTAATGTTACTTACTCATTTTAATTAATTTGAGTTCACAATCCTTAAACTCAAAAACTATTTTTTTTTCTTATGTGACAATATAATTCTTTTTTTTTTTTTTTGGACAGTGAAGGAAGTATCTATTTTTGAAGCATTAGAAATTAAAAATAAGCACAGCCCTAACTGGTTTGGCTCAGTGGATAGAGCATCGGCCTGCGGACTAAAGGGTCCCAGGTTCGAATCTGGTCAAGGGCATGTACCTTGGTTGTGGGCACATCCCCAGTGGGGGGCATGCAGGAGGCAGCTGATGAATGTTTCTCTCTCATCAATGTTTCTAGCTCTCTATCCCTCTCCCTTCCTCCCTGTAAAAAAATCAATAAAAAATATATTTAATAAAAAAAAAATAAGCACAACAGAAATAGTGCTTGCCAGAACAAAAAACTCTGTTTTCAAAAATATTTGTTGTAAAACCCATAGTATTTAGAAGGCAAATTCTTACTTAAAGTATTAATCATTGTTATGTTCACTTATATCAATCATGTATCTAGAGATGCTGCAATTGATGACAGAAAAAGGATATACAGTTAAGATTAAATTGCATGCTTAGATTTATTTATGTCATTAATTATTATATAGATCTGCTTGCAACTTTTTAGGTAGTTGGAAAGGACAATATGAAATGTCATTATGACAGGTGGTATATTTCCCGATATAACCTTATCTTTTCCTTTAATATTTTGTAAATGTGTATGTGTGTGTGTTTTCCTTTCTAAGAACTTTCTGCCTGAGTAGCAGCAGCACCCAAAGGGTGGTGTGCCTAGTCTGCTAAAGGGAAATGGGGCACCATCATGGACTTTTCAGACCTTAATTACTCCTACACTCCAAGCCAAATGTATAGTCCTGTCCTTGATGGGAGCAGAATATGCCACCTTGGGATGTACCACTTTGGCCTGGGGATTATTTTAAGCTGAAGACAGCCAGAGTCCAGTACTCCCAAGAGAAGCTTTATACCTCCCCTTTAACTACCCAAAAGAAATTAGGTCAGGGGCCTGTACCAGGAAGAGAGCTATTAAGAGAGAAAACTTTTTATATCAGAGGGACTTATCTGCATAGCATGGCAAACATTTACTTACCAAACATAAGATCTCATTTTTCTATGAATTGTCTTCCTCCCCTTTGAAGCTCCAGACCCTTAACCCCTTCTTCTTAGCTCAGGATAGTATGTAAGCCTCAATATAAGACCGACTGCCAGGGAATCTCCTAATTTTATGGGGCTCCCATCTGAGTGAAATATGTTGTTTTTTCCTGTTAATCTGTCTAATGTCAATTTGATTTAGAGCAGCCAAAAAACCTAAAAGGAAAGAGGTAGGAAGTTTTCTGCCCCTACATCCTAGAATCCCTGTAGTTTTTGTTACTATTCCTAATAAGTTCTTCATCTAGCCTGATTTTATTTCAAAAGAAAATATACACCAAAAACAGAAGAGCTATTCTTTTTTTCTTCTATTAAATTTATTGGGGTGACATTGGTCAACATGATCATATAAGTTTCAGGTGTGCGTTTCTATATTACAAGATCTGTATATTGCACTGTGTGCCCACAACCCAAAATCAAATCTTCTCCTGTCACTGTATATTAGGACCCCCTTTCCCCTCATCCCCTTCCCTCTGGCAACCACCACACTGCTGTTTGTGTTCACTAGTTTCAGTTTTATATCCCACATTTGAGAGAGAAGAGCTATTCTTATAAGTATTGGCTAATAACAGGACCACAAATGTAAAGTCAATTTTAAAACTAAAAATTTGATCTCAGAATGGAAATTTGTTCTTTTCACAAATATTGTGAAAATTGTGATATTGTTTCTATTTATTTCACAAGTTGAAATAAAATATGTTATATAAAATTTTCAGCAGTCTATTTGACCACACTGAAAGGAAGAGGAATGTTTTCAGGAGGAGCGCGGGCACTGTGTCCTGTGCTGGGAGAGTCCTACCTTCTGGCCTCATTGTGGTAGGAAGAAGGGAGGGTGTGAGTCATCCTGATGGTCCTAGGGGTCGGGGGAGGGGAAGTTTCACATTTAATTGTTGCTTTATCCTCCCGACCATCTTCTTCCACCACTGCAATCTACAAGTAAAAACAATATATTCAGATGAACTCTTGTTAAATTTCAACTGAAATGAATAAAAATGGAGAATCATCAAGGCAAGGCTATCTGAGGAAATCTAACACAAAAACAATCCAAAAAACTTGGGGCATATAGGTTTTACATATATAAATTCACATTATTAAAGAGTGTTAATTTAATAACTCTTTAAAAGTGTAGTAGACATTCCAGTTAAAGTAAATATGGACCTGCTACAAAAATATTTAACAGTAAATAAATATCAAAGATCAATATGCAGGTGTTATAGTCATAATTAGCTAGTCAATATTAATAATAGGAAAGGAGCAAAGGGGAGGCCAAACATTATAAGCATGATCACCTGGGCAGCTTCACCAGGAAGCTGCAACTTCACACTCCCCAGGGAACCACCTGCCCATTCCCTGCAGTTCACTGGAGGAAGGGACCCAACAAAGGGGGAGATGGGTGCTTGTGCAGTGAAGTCAGTGTGACTTAGCTTGCCTGCCTATCTAACCTGAGAAAAATAATTGGCTAGGAGGTGGAGGCACTGCAACCACATGAAATTCTGAAGGGTTAATTGGCTAAGCTCCCAGTTATAATCCTCTCTCTGTTGTCCTCTTGCCAGCGATTGAGCTCTCACTAGGTGACCCACACTCACCTGTGTGCTCGCCTGCCATGTGTCCTTAAGCAGCACCATGGCCCATAGCCACGTGGACCCCACATGCAATGGAATGCGGCTGGGAACACAAGCTGAGTTAGCCAGGTCCTGGACTGGACTGTGCTTTAATATGGAGCAGAAACTCTGGGCCGTGGCTTTAATCTTAGTCCCACTGAGAACAAGATTAGACTTTTTCCATGGCAGGAGAGAAAAATTGAACCTTGGAAACCTAGATGCTTTAATTCCACAGAAATAAACGTCACTCATCCTCCATGCAAGTCTCAGGAAATTCCTTTCCTTTCGACATTGAGAGAATTCCATTTCCACTGGCAACAGCAGGTGGGGACACAGAGGGCACCCCATCGACAACACAGGGGCTATGAAAAAGCTATTTTGGAATCTATTTTAATATACCAGAATATAAATAATTTATTGAAATTAGAGCACATTTACTAAAAATGCATAGTCAGGTTATCATAACAGGGACCTCTTTTCAGTGGGGGATTTTTGAAGTGAGAACACATGTTGTCAAAATATAACTTTATTCCCTACTTCAATATTTATGCTCTTGATTTCATTCTGAACAGGAAAGCAGTGTATTAACTATATTTGCATATTTTCTATATTCTTGATGCTCTGGCGCCTGGGGCCATCCTGAGCCAGGAGAGACTGCCTCTCCCAGGGCCAGCTAAATCCTAGAGAAAGCAAACCACTTCCCCGGAGTGGGCCTTCCACATGAAAATCAATCAATCAATCCAGATCTGGATCCCATACCATCTTATCTATCTGCTCGTACACTCCTGGAAGCAATATTCCTCGGCCATAATCATCCAGGTCAGGCATTAGACAACTAGAGACAGCCCCCCTCCCTAGAGCCCACCCAAATGATTCAAAACAGCCAACCCTAACCCTGCATGCCTTACCTCGCCTTGTCTTTCCCACAGAAACCAGAATAAAGTCTCCTGCCCATGCTTTCCCACACTCTCTGTCTCCTGACCAAACTGGCTTCCCTGTGGCCCTACATCCCCGGGTGAGCCCATCCTCTTGGAAAATTTAACAAGTTATCTTTTCATTGCAGTTGCCTCCTGACCTGTTGGCCTCACTATACCTGAATAATAGTGAGACCTACATTTACTATTGTTCTAGTAGAGATAGTAAACTAGATAATTTTTGTACCAGCAGTGCTCTAAATCTTCTGTAGAAGTAAGATCATTTTTGTTCCAAATGATCTTCTCCCTTATTTTTTGTACAATCTCAAGCTAATCAGTAAACATAGGTGGCTTTATTAACTACATGTTAAATGACCTTCTATTATTTAGCAGCTCTCTTTATTTAGCAGGTCTTTATTATATAGCCTGCTGTTCAGTCATTTGGTCGTCCCTCACTAACCTCCCTGCCAGCCTGGTTGTAGGCAGCCATCTTGTGAGGGCACAAGGGTTAATTTGCATGTTACCTCTTTATTATATAGGGTTGCCAAAACTTTATTATATAGGGAAGCAACCAAGATGTCCTTCAATAGGTAAATGGATAAATAAACTGGAATATTAGTCAGCACTAAAAAGAAATGAGCTGTCAAGGCATGAAAAGACATAGGAGAACATGAAATGCATATGACTAAATGAAAGAAGCCAATCAGGATACTTAGTCCCCGTAATCTAATCATTGACCCAAAAAAGCATGAAAGAAATTTTTTTCTTTTAAAACATTTGCTCTTATGGTCATATTTAAAGAATTCAATAATGCTTAAATACTTTTGATATTTCTTTTGTATGTTACTACAGTATTTAAACTACAGGGAATATAATTTTAAAGCTCCCATAGGAAAAAAAACAATATTTAACTCGTAGTCATATAAAAGGTATTTACAGTACCTTTCTCCGGTGTTTCCTTAGATCACTTGGCTGTGATTGGCAGCAATAAAAGCAACATAAAACACAACTAGTTAATGATTATCACTTAACCATGTTACAAATTTAAATAGTATCTATAATTTGACTTTGTTTTTTTATTCCATTTTCCCCTAGATAAGTGTGTTTACATTTACTTGTTACAATCATTATAAGAGCACTCCTCTTGGGAGTCACTTTAGAGAGGGAACTTCCTGGGTGGCATGGGTGGGGCATGTCACCTGTGCACAGGCATCAGATAGGAGACATGGGCCCTAGGAAGCATAAAGCACAAATAGAGCGAGCTAGCCAGAAATAAAAATGGAACTAAATCCTCCCCGTAAAATATAAATGGCCATGAAAAGATTGTGCATATTCAATGCATATATATGGAGTTTACAAACACTGCCTTTTGCCCCCGCTGTGCAGAGCCTTGGGCCTCCTTTGGGCAGGTGGGCTGTTCCTGGGGATCTCAATCTTCCTGGACTCTAACGCATCCCCCATTCCCAAGTGCCACAAGCTCAGCCCTCAGTATAACATGTTTCTGGAGCTGCTATTTTCTTGTCAACACTCTTTTACAGAATATTTTATAAAGCTAATTCTTTATGATTCCATATGAACCTTAGTTACTTAATATCTTTATTGCTTTTTGTTATGAAAATAAAATAATTTTTGTTAAACTATTCCATTATACTTTACATTTTAGTAGTTATTAGAAAATGGGTAGGTTTACCCCATCCAGTGTTCTAATTAGATATTGCTAACATGTTATTTATGCTTATGTATTCATGGTGAGGTAAAAGTGGATACACTAATAAAAATAAATGCAACACAACAATAAACATGATTGCAAAACATATAAACATAGACAATCCAAACAATTACAATGTCTTTGCAATCTATATTTTCTGTCCCTAAAATTTCTAATGTTTCTTTGAATATTCAAATATAAATTATACCCAACAATATTATTTTTCCTTCACTATTTTCTACATGTGAAAGAAAATCTGTTTCACTATTGTTATTTGATGACAATGTTTCATTAGGTAATAGAGATTTTCTGGATTTCATTTCTTGTTTATCTGGGCCAGATATTCAACATTTTAAATACTTGTTAACCCTCAGAAAATGTTCTAAGTAATTTCAAGTACTGAAATTATAGTGTGATAATGTTCATTTACCACTGATTTATTTATAAATGACTACTCAAGAAAATTCCTAAGAGCACTGGTACCCTTGTCACACAAATGCCACATCTAAATATTAAAAATATTTTATCTTATTACTATAAAATAATAACACTATCAAGGGTTATAATGCTAGTGTTCATGAAAATACTTAAAAATTCAAAATACTATGTTGTAAAAATGTAAGTAAATAATAGTAGTACAGAAACAACCAGTTTCCTTGCCTTGAATGCTGAATACATTATTCTCTATGGACCAAGATTCTTACTTAGCTGTAGTTAACAAGTAGGTCATCAATATGTAGCATGTACTAAACAGGCAGAAACTCAGCCAGAGACAATATCATTTTAGTTAATAAAATCAGAGGGATGTCTAGATTTCTAAAATAAGTAGATCATAATGTATCTCAGTTATTGCCTTAGTATATTTAGTACATCTGCTAAAAGTTTGCTCTGTATCTGGTTGGAGTTGGTTCTGATTAGTTGGTCTTTTTTCTGAGTGGCTATTGTCTGTGCTTCTATTTTTAATATTAGGTGTGGAAGTCAGCAGAGACTAGAGGACTCACTGGCTTAATGTCTTAAAGAGATAAATGTTTCCTTTTTTTTTAAAAAAAATTCACCATTTCTCTTATATAGATTTTATTGCACGGGAGTCCCATAACTACAAAGTTTGCTGTGGGCCATATTGCCTCACCATATAAATAGTTTTCTCTTTAAGTTCTCAATTGCATAATCAAAGAAAGAGATACCTACATTTATATACATAACAGAAATTTCATCAAGGTAAAATAAAAACTTAAAAATCAATTATTTATAAGGTAGTTTTTATCTATATAATTTACTAGCCACATCACAAATGATTGCAACATATTTATTTTAAAATGTCATTAGAAAGTGAATTAAACATCTTGGCAATATATTACACACACACACACACACACACACACACACACACACGCACAGCCATTGTGAACTTTTATAGATGCTTCACAACCTTCTTACCAGAAACACAATATACATTTCAGATTTTTCTGTAGTATGATTAATTTATCCTCCATTTATTACGTTTGTGCTGGATTTTACGGTGTATCAACTATTATTTTACCTATTTGCCTTTTAATTAACCTCTTCCATTTACTTATTATATAACCTAGGGAAAGTTACACCTATGTCGATTACATATCCTCATCTCATAATGGGATTAATAACTGTACCTACCACATAGGTTGTTGTAAAAAGAAGAAATAATAAAATACACAGAAAGCCCTTAGACTAGAGGAAACACCCAATCAGTATCAACTAATGTATCATAAATCCTAGTGGCAGCAAAGGGTCTCTGGACGCATCAGCATACCAGTGTCATGACTCCCATCCGATCCATTTCCCTGGCAGGACTTCGCGGTGTGAGCTTTGGCGTTGAATGTCCACTGGGGGGCGATGAGCTGGCCAGTGAAGAAGCTGTAACGGAGGCAGTGATGGAGGTCCCTGGGTGGACTCGCGCTAAATTCAGGCCTTCCAGGCTCACACTTGCTACTCTATTCTCAATTTCTTCAGCACGTAACTCTGTAGATTCTTTTTCTTCCTGAATTAGCCTGAAAGATACAGTTTAATTTTGATCCATTATATGCTCTGATAATGCTAATAAGTCAATAAAAAATTCTGTGAATATTTTATATCAAATCTAGTAGTTCCATCTTTTTTTCTCTAGGGAATATAACTTTCATTAAATTCAAGAGACTTCCAGGCTGAAATTTAGAAAATCACTTTCTAAGTGATACATAATTCCTCTCCACTTCGATATTATAACCTACAAAACCCTTTGCCTGCATAATTAATGTATGCCATTAATCCTAAACTTACATTTGAACTCCTGCGCTGATAAATGAGTTTTAGAAACTCAGATTCCAACAAAGTTATTAAATCTTACCTCCAACCCAATAACAAAGTATAATTAATAAAATCCTAAATAAATGGTCATTCATAATTTTCATTTGGACAAATAAATGACCAAGTCATTTTTTAAACATTAAGATACTTAGCCAAGTCACCTTTAAATAAACACCATGCAATTTAATAATGTGGAGATGGCCCTAGCTGGTTTGGCTCAGTGGATAGAGCATTGGGCTGCGGACTGAAAGATCTTTGGGTTGCATGCTCGATCCCCAGTAGGGGGCGTGCAGGAGGCAGTCAATCAATGATTTTATCTCATTATTGATGTTTCTATCTCTCTCTTCCTCTCTGAAATCAATAAAAATATATTTTTAAAAAATGTGGAGATGACAGGTGATAGATAATTATAAAATTAAACTGTTGCTATAGATCCCTTTGAGATGACAAAGCTTAAATAGAAACAAGCTTCAAGAAGGTGTATACACTGAGTGGCCAGATTATTATGACCACCTGACGTTTGTAGGCAAATTAGCTATAATTTCGCACTGAAGTTGCTAGAGGGCCAGACCATTATAAATAGGGAAGTAGGTTGTTTATCATGACAGTAGGAGTGATTTTTTTTCTGAAGATATGGGTAAACAATGCAATTTAACAGCCTTTGA